CCCCCCCCCCCCCTTTTTTTGTGGGTGTTTTTTTTTTCATTGTGCATTTGCAAATGTTGTAGAAAAGTGATGCCAAATTGGTAGAATCCTTCCTGAGTGCTGCAGTTATAAATCATTTGTACAGACTCACCACTGATGAAGGCCTGCGTAAAATATTTAGTGACTTTCTTAGGTTGGAAGTTTTTTAAAGGTTATGTGTGAAAGCAAGGTTACACAAAGTGCTGAGGAGAAGCTAAATAAGGTGCTGAACTGTGAAAGAACAAACTGTGTCTTCTCCCACATTTATTGTGTTATTGGGATTTTTTTTCTTGAATCACCTATTAGAAAGATTACGACACTTTAGAAAATAATAAAACTATATTAATATTTTTTATAATTCAGAAGCATGATGGGCCACTTTATTTTAGACCTTTTTTGTTTATAAGTATATATTGTTTTCAGACAATACTCTTACAAGATCACTAGGTGTCAAAAATGTTAAGATTAAGGAAAAAAGCTTGGCTAAATAAGTGTAGTAAAACCAGCTTAAACTGCTCTATTGTTTCTGGGTTTTCTGGGTGAAAGTGGACATCTGCAAAAGAAAATTTTATGTCATTATATTTTTAAAGCTCCTGAGTTTACACAGAGTCACCATCAACAACTCTGATTTGGAAATCATTCAAAATAAGATCGTATACTGAAGTCTTTCAGCAAAATTTAGCTCAAAACAAAACAACTTTTATCAATATAAATTTGGTTCTACAAAGTTCCAAATGTGAAGTTTTCTAAAAGAAAGTCCACCATCCAAGTTATCAGCAAATAAAAGAGCAGGGGAAATTTAAAAAGGAGGAGCCAATAAAACCAGACGGTGTTACCAAAAGAGAAATAAAAGCAACTCTTAAAAATACTCTGAAGAAAACAAAATGCAAGCATCGACTCAGCTTTTTGTCCACTACTTTGGAATTATTTTAAAAACTGAGTATTTTTTCTGTATTTGTACCTCCCTTCTACACACAGTTTTTTTTATTGCATCTCTATTAGATCAGTGTAGACAAGAGATATGGAGTTTTAAAAACCTTGCAGCCTATTTTGTGCATCCTCACTATCAATGTGTGCAGAGATATTTGACCAGTTTTGCTTTTAGATTGTGTTTTAGCCTGGTTTAAACCAGACCTTGTCCTTCACTTTGCTTCGTACAAGGATCTGGACTTGATGCATAGAGAAGTGATTCTTGAAGGAGGCGTGGCCTCTGCTGAAGTTTAAAATGATTGGATCAGTTGGCTGCGACGTATGTCGCTGTGAAGGAGGCTAAGCTAAGAAGCTAACCGGAAATTTTGTGCGCTGTAAACAACCCTACTGAGAGGAAACAATTACTGAGCCAAACGGGACGACTGTAAATGAGAGCTGCTGCTTTGTCAGACAAATTTATTTTAATTTTGAAGTTTTATCAACACAGACTGGCTTCATTCACTTCCTCCACTGCCGTATGCTAAAATAACTAGCAGACACTGCGCAGAAAATCGACGTCGTTCAAAACTCCACCTTCTGTTTGCTGATTGGCCCAGGTAAAATAAACTACAAGCAGACACTGCGCAGAAAATTGACGTTCTCTTCTCTGATTGGCCCGGCTAAAAATCTGCCAGTGAAATCCTTGTCAATGGGAGAAGTCCCAGACGGAGCAGAGAAGGGAAACTAGAATTGAGCGGAGCTGCGTAGGAAGGCAAGAGCCAGGCTAGTTGTGTTTAGATCTTTGACCAGAACCCAGAACTGGTTCTAGTGCAAGCATTAAGTCCCACCCCTTCCTAATAACCAATGGGATATTGCCCTTGGTAAAAGATCCCCAGACACTAGCCGTGTTTCCTGCAACGTCTTTTTATGCACCTTTTGAAGTATCGCATTAGAAACGGTGAATGGAAATGGCACGATTTGAAAATCGTACCACAGCTGGTACCAGTATCATGATAAAATTTTACCAGTACCAGATGTGGCTGCAGCTGGACCCTCCTCCCGTTGTCAGCATCCCGTAATGTAAAGAGAAATGCATTTCTTTTTGTACGTCTCCAGACAGCATGTAATATCGTCAAAACGAGTTGATATGACTGAATAATTATAACTTTCCTGATCGTAGCAACATATGATAAATTCTCTCTATTGTCCTGAGATGTGTATCCCTGCGAGTTTACAACTCTACTTCCTGTTTACTGCAGCCATGCATAATGTTGTCTGACATCATTACTTTGTGTAGCCTGGTTGATTCGCTTCAAGCCAGTTGATGGAAACACATCTGATTCGCGTTTCTTCTATTTTACCTTTTTGAGACATTTTAAATGTTCACTCAAAATTCAAATTTTAATTAGTTGGAAACACGGCTAGTGTTTTTTTAGGTGTCTGCTTTTGTTGATTCATGTTGTTCTTACTCTGCTGTTCTATTCTCAAATATAGATTTTTCTATGATGTTTTGCTGTAATTAGTTATTCTGTGCTTTAAAGAATGCTCATGTGACACCATGGTTGTGTGCGAGGGAGTAAACCGGGCTTAACAACACATTCTGAGTTCACAAACTTTGGTTCTAAAAATACAACAATGCAACTGTAACAATAAAACACAAACCGGATTCTGCTGGTTTCAACATGAGAATTTAGCGACACTCTGTTCATGTCTTTATCGCTGGATGGTAACAGGCTAAAACAAAGAGGAAAAAGGGATTTGGGAGATGTTAAAAATTATTCTTTTTCTATGTTTTGATTTTTTAAAATGTGTGGACTGAGAAACCAAACAAAAGTGTTTTTTTTTTACTGTCTAATCAGACTAGTGCTGTACCAAACGATTATTTTCTAATAGATTAATCTAACGATTATTTTTTCGATTAATCGATTATTCTAACAACAAATCTGTAAGTTATTCTGATGTCAGTGCACTGGATATTTAAAATGTTTTCATCAAATTAACAAGAACAGTTCTTTAATATTGTAATATTTTCTGTTATAGTTTTTTCATGAACACAAAATATGCACTCTAGAGTCAATTCTTAAACAAAAAAGCTTAAAAGATTTAACATCAACATAAAATCTCAACCAAAGCATATAAAATTCAACTAAAAGAAATATAGTGCAAGATGTTA